GAAATCGTAATTCTGTTGAGGCAAAAGAATTTAGACCAATTTCTTACAATCGAACATTGGTAAGCTACTTGAAAAAAAAAAATTCATTCCAAAATTCATGATCTGCACTCGGAAAGGTTTATTCCGTCTTATCAGCTTGGTTTCCAAAAAGCACATTCCATGCAACATGCACTTTTTAAATTCTCCAACGATGTATTGGTAAATTTAAGGAATAAACTTTGTACTATAGCAGTATCATTAGATAATGAAGCATTCGACCATGTTTATCATAGAGGGCTTATTTTTAAGCTTGTTCAGATTGGTTTTGATCATGGTATTATTAAGATTAATTCAAGTTTCTGGCAGATAGGAAATTTTTTGTGCTTATTAATGATTGTTCCTCGGATCTTGGAGTTTGCAATTGTGGGGTTCCACAAGGCTCTATTCTAGCTCCCTTGCTTTACAATATTTTTATGTTTGATTTTCCACATAGTCACAATAATTCATTAAGCATTCTGTATGCTGATGATTCTTTAGTTTATGCTCATAACAAATTCCCTACCTTGGCATTGCGATTGGTAGAGAATCATCTAGAAAAAATTAATAATTTCTACAAATATTGGGGGGCTAAGATAAATGAAGCCACGACTGTACCTATCTGCATCAGAAATGCTTCAGGTAAAGGACCTAGAGGGGTTGTAATGGAGAGTAAAGACCTGATTCTAAATCTTAAAGGTCATAATACTCGTTTTCAGAATCAAATGAAATATATTGGAGTAACCTTCACCAACTTATTTAAATTCAATTTTCCAACATGGTGAAAAAATGTAATAACCGTTTTCGTGCCTTCTCAATGATAATGAAAAATACAAGTTTAAGCGCAAGAACCAAAATTTTGATTTATAAAGTGGCTCTCCGTCCAGTCTTAATGTACGCTTTGCCGATTTTGTTTCATTTTTTGCCTTCTTTGATGAAAAAAATTTAAATATTTGAACGTAAAACGATAAGATTTTGTTTAAACAAAAACTTCATTCACTTTAAAAAGAGATACTCAAATAAATATATCTATTCAAACTCTAAAGTACTCCCTTTTAATAAATATGCAATAAGAGTAATATTAAGTTTTTTCGACCATGTTCGGAATTGTGACAATCCATTGATTTCTGATGGTATCTTGTCGCAGTCGAGTCATACCTGGGTCAACAGCAAGTATTTGTCTCCACTTGGTATTARTAAAGAAAATATAATAAATGATGTTAATCATCCAGAAGCCTTCTGCTCAAACTTTAAGTAAAATCAACACCTGGTTCGCACTAGTTTGAGCATAAGCTTTATTTGCTATTATAGCTTGTAAGATTTCTTTTTTTAATTAGTTTTAAGTTTTAAGTTAGTTTTAAGACTGAGTCGTAGCCCTCGGAATACATTTAAAAATGTCGGGAGCAAGCATTTATTGTAAATTTTTTTCCCCTTTTCCTTTAGATTAAGATCTGTTTTCGGAAACTTTTGTTTAAATAAAATATGTATAGTAGTAAGTTATAACTTTCTACTTTTGTAAATAATTTGTATTTTTGTTCTTTTTGGTCTCAATAAATGAATTTGAATTTGTTTAAATGATAAGCCTTCCCAATTACCTTTCACTGAATGCAGAGAATCTCTCGGATTGGTTGGTTTTCGTTCAGTAACATTTTCGTTATATCTGCCATGCTGGACAGTTTTTATTGTAAATAAGTGATTAGAAATCGTATTATGGGAACGCTGGACAAATTTTCTACATTCTTTGAATTGATCTGACTACAAGCCATTTAGTTTCTTTTAAGTGTTTGTTTTAGCAACGGTACTTTTCGCTTTTTTTGTTCTGTGACAATCATTATATATTAACTAACAAAACTAACATTGCTGATGCTGTTGGCTGACGCAAAAACATTAATTATATAGAAGTGTTCTATATTTGGATCGTCTGCAATGGGTGTTTGATGCTTTCGTACAGGTTTCCATTTTTATTCCCATAATTTGTAGCATTTGCTACAATTTGACAAAAGTATTCCTAGATTTTTTATATCAAATAATAAATGTCTATTATTTTTTTATTTTTTCTATAATTTTCCACATTTCCTCTATAAAATGTTTATTTTTATTCACTGAAGAAATTCGTGCTATATTATGGAACTTACTTACTTTTCTAACTATGTGAATATTTTTCAAATAAAAACAAAATTACAAATGAAATATCTTACCCTTATATTTTTTTTGTTAGAATCAATTACAAGGGTCACCGAGAAGCAGAGCAAGAACAACGATCTCGTTATGTGAACCGCTAATGTACTTTGTAATTTATATGTGGTCCAGAAAAGTTACGCAGTCCTATTTTTAGTAATGTTTTAAACCGAATTAACTCCAAAATACCACTTTCGCACACACGTCGAAGTACTTTAAAGTCATAAGTCGTGACAGAATTTCAGTTAAATAAATAAAAAGTGCACTGTCAACAATATTCGTAAACGAAACCGAATAAATTCTCAAAAATTTCGGATAGCTATCAACAATTATTGCTTACATAACCGCTTCCAAATTTCATAAGTAGACACGCTAAAACGAAAGAATCGTCACGTTTAAAGAAAATTGCCAAAAATTGCATTTTTCATTTACCAGATAAGCATTCCATTCGGCAATGTTGGTACCTAAGTAACGTGCACATTTATACTTAATTCTCATTAATTTAAAACTTTAAAGGTATATAAGATATATTTTTTACTTTGCCTGCGACAATTTCGAAACTTTTTCAAAGAATTAATCAGTTTACCGTAGAATCCAATTATGCATTTGAAATATTTGTGGTTTCTCTACATAATTTTAAGCCTTGCTCTTGCTGTCGTTCCTCAAATAGTACCATGCCCACTGAAATACCAGTGTCATACAAAGGAAGAACCGGTTTGGGGAAGCGAGAATCGAGGATGTCACATTTTCCTTAATAAATGTTTCCTGGCAAATGAAAACTGTGAACGCATAAATAATCATCTGTCAAGTGAGTAAAGTTATTATCAATGATCCATATGTGAAGAATATTTTATGCGAATGAATTATATTTTTAGTGCTTAGGCTAGAAAATAAGACAGTTTGCCAACAAAAGTGTCATCAATCTTGTCCGGGCATAATTTCGCCCGTGTGCGCCATTTACAGGGGATTCCTACAAACCTTCCCAAACCAATGTGTTCTGGATAAACAAGCTTGTAAAACGGGAAAGCGTAAGTCAACAAAAAAAAAAAAATATTTAGTAAACGTAAATTACCTTCTTTTTTCCAGCCTGGCATTATCTTTTTGCAGGCCACTGTGATGCTATTTACTCACTTGACGAAAAGAAAGTTTTGTAGGAGGTTGAGAAGTCCCTATTGAAGACAACAAAATTAGTTAAATATGCATTTTTATTTTAACCTCAAAACATTTTCTTATAGTATCTATACTTCTATCTATCAAGCAGTCGACATGATTTTCTTATCTGAATAAATGGATCGAAAATGTTCCTCAGTTTTTTATCTTCGATTTCGGAACATTACAAGCAGCATTTATTTTATTTATTTGATGCTTTTGCCAAATCGATCGATTCTTTCTGAAGAATGACGCTGAGTGAATGAGTTGGAGATAGGATATCACATATGAAAAAAATCCCAATTATAAATTTAAATTTGCACAGGGCTGCGATGCGTATCGTTGCTTTGATTTTGTTTGTAATGTGAAAACCCTTCTTATAAGAAGCAAGTCTTTTCGTATATGGCCTTAAAGAATATGAGGATATACTCGTACATATGTATGTAATATAATCTATACCTAGCGATTTCTAATATTAAATTTGCTGCTAGGCATCCCAACAACATCAAGTGCGAATCCTTGATAGGTTTCGTAATTCTTGCATCTAATCTTCTTCTTCTTGATTGRCGTAGTCACCGCTTACGCGATTATAGCCGAGTTAACAACAGCGCGCCAGTCGTTTCTCCTTTTCGCTACGTGGCGCCAATTAGATATTCTAAGTGAAGCCAGGTCCTTCTCCMCTTGGTCCTTCCAACGGAGTAGAGGTCTCCTCTTCCTCTGCTTCCTCCGGCGGGTACTGCGTCGAATACTTTCAGAGCTGGAGTGTTTTCGCCCATCCGGACAACATGACCTAGCCAGCGTAGCCGCTGTCTTTTAATTCGCTGAACTATGTCAATGTCATCATATATCTCGTACAGCTCATCGTTCCATCGAATCCGATATTCGCCGTGGCCAACGCGCAAAGGACCATAAATCTTTCGCAGAACTTTTTTCTCGAAAACTTTCAAAGTCGACTGATTAGTTGTTGTCATCGTTCAAGCCTCTGCACCATATAGCAGGAGGGGAACTATAAGTGACTTATAGAGTTTGGTTTTTGTTCATCGAGAGAGGACTTTCCTTCTCATTTGCCTACTAAGTCCGAAGTAGCACCTGTTGGCAAGAGTTATCCTGCGTTGGATTTCTTGGCTGACATTGTTGGTGGTGTTTACGCTGGTTCCAAGATAGACGAAATTATCTACAACTTCAAAGCTATGATTGTCAACAGTGACGTCAGTGCCAAGTCGTGAGTGCGATGATTGTTTATTTGATGACAGTAGATATTTCGTCTTGACCTCGTTCACTGCCAGACCCATTTGTGTTGCTGCCTTATTCATTCTGGAAAAAGCAGAACTAACGGCGCGGGTGTTGAGGCCAATGATATCAATATCATCGGCATACGCCAGCAGCTGTACACTCTTATAGAAGATGGTACCTTCTCTATTTAGTTCTGCAGCTCGAACTATTTTCTCCAGAAGCAGGTTGAAAAAGTCGCACGATAAGGAACCTCGTTTGGTATCGAATGGCTCGGAGAGGTCCTTCCCGATTCTGATGGATGGATTTTGGTGCTGCTCAACGTCAGCTTACACAGCCGTATAAGTTTTGCAGGGATAACAAATTCAGACATCGCGGCATAAAGGCAGCTCCTTTTCGTGCTGTCGAAAGCAGCGAAGAGGTGATGAGTGTCAATTCTCCTTTCACGGGTCTTTGCCAAAATTTGGCGCATGGTGACTATCTGGTCGGTTGTTGATTTTCTAGGTCTGAAGCCACACTGATAAAGTCCAATCAGTTTGTTGACGGTGGGCTTTAATCTATCACACAATACGCTCGATAGAACCTTAAACGCGATGTTAAGGAGGCTTATCCCACGGTAGTTGGCGCAGATTGTGTGGTCTCCTTTTTTATGAATTGGGAAAACTTAAATTCTAATCATTGTCCATGCTTTCGTCCAACATATACAAAGAAGCTGATGCATGCTCCTTATCAGTTCTTCGCCGCCGTGTTTGAATAGCTCGGCCGGCATCCCATCGGCCCCCGCCGCTTTGTTGTTCTTCAGGCCGGTAATTCCTATTCGAACGTCTTCATGGTCGGGCAATGAAACTTCTGCTCCATCGTCATCGATTGGGGAATCGGGTTCGCATTCTCCTGGCGTTGTGCGTTCACTGCCATTCAGCAGGCTGGAGAAGTGTTCCCTCCATAATTTAAGTATGCTCTGGGTGATCGGTGACTAAATCACCTTTGGGGGTTCTACAAGAGAACGCTCCGGTCTTGAAACATTCTGTAAGTTGCCGCACTTTTTCGTAGAATTTTCGAGCATTACCCCTGTCGGCCAGCTTATCAAGCTCTTCGGACTCATGCATTTCGGCCTCTTTCTATTTCTGTCTGCAAATGCGTCTCACATCCCTCTTTAACTCTCGGTATCTCTCCCATCCCGCACGTGTTTTGGTCGATCGTAACGTTGCGAGGTAGGCAACCTGTTTTCTCTACGCTGCGACACGGCACTCCTCGTCGTAAGAGCTGTTCTTTTGCACTTTTCGAAAACCAATGGTTTCGGTTGCAGCTGTACGTTAGGAGTTTGAAATGCTGTCCCACGGTTCCCTAATACCGAGTTGTTGACGAGTGCTCTCAGAGAGCAGGGGTGCAAGCCGAATAGAAAATCGTTCGGCTGTCTGCTGTGATTGCAGCTTCTCGATGTCGAACATTCCTTGTGTTTGATGGCGTGCGTTTTTTGCTGCACAGAGACGGGTACGAATCTTGGCTGCAACAAGRTAGTGGTCCGAGTCCATGTTAGGATCTCGGAGCGCATGCACATCTAAAATACTGGAGACGTTTCTTCCGTCTGTCACAACATGATCGACCTGGTTGGTGGTTTATCGATCCGGAGATAGCCAGGTAGCTTGATGTATCTTCCTATGCTGGAATCTAGTACTACAGATAACCATATTTCGGGCCCCGGCGAAGTCGATCAGCCTCAACCCATTTGGTTATGTTTCCTCGTGGAGGCTGATTTACCGACCGTAGTGCCAAAGATACCTTCTTTGCCCACCCTGGCGTTAAAGTCTTCAAGCACGATTTTGACATCGTGGGGGGGCAACTCTCATAAGTGCCTTCCAAGCACTCATAAAAGGCATCTTTGGTCACATCGTCCTTCTCTTCCGTCGGGGCGTGGGCGAAAATCAGCGATATGTTCAAGAACCTCGCTTTGATGCGGATTGTGGCTAGACGTTTATTCACCGGAGTGAATGATAGTACTCGGCGATGGAGTCTCTCTCCCACCACGAATCCCACAATTAAGGGACCGGACATTCCAGGTGCATGCCCTCAATTCGTAGTCCTTATTTCGTTTGTCATGGTCGTCATCAAAAGTGGGTCTCTCGTCCGAGGCTGTTTTTGCGTTTTCATTGGGGGCGTTTTTTTTTACGTGGCGGGTCCCAAACCCAGCGCACAACCCTATGTAGGGGATGTTTCGCCTTCTCACTTTAGCTCGCCTTCAAACGAATGTTCTTAGGCTAGCCAGAGGATACTGGGTCAAGGACCGGAAGTCGTGAGCTGCTTGAGTCATATGTAAAAAACTCCCAAGTGAATGGCGATTAGCGAACTTTCCTCACTTGCGCGAGCTTCTGCACATGACTCCATCCTCCTAATCACACAAACAAATTAATTATTTCACCACGAATAATATTAAACATTCTGACTCCAATTCAATATATCGTCCTTACTCAAAAATATTTGTAAATATCTAATAAAAAGCAATAAAATTTAAATCCAATGTTCGCAGTATTTTATTTTCCGAACTTTTTTTCCTTCTTCACTTTTAATTGGAACAAACTTTTTGCTAATTATAATAATAATAAAAACATAATTACTGAATATATGAAACGTAATATTAATGATCGACTATTAAGCGTTGGAAATTTTAATCTCTTCTGCTTCCGGGTTTTGTACGGGAATTTTCTAATTTTTTTTGTCTCAACGACAATATTTCATAAATTTCATATCCAATACTCCATTATAATGCCGTTATCTAAACGAGTATGCCACCCAATTTCTTTCGCGTTTAATAGTAACTAAAATTTGCTAAATAGAAATATGACGGTGATTTCGACTTATTAGTAGCGAAGTTTTAAAAAACACTCGTTTGACAGTGTGAAGATCAAGTTTTATATTAAATGTATCATGATTGCGAAAAGTTGCAGCGAATTTACATTTTATTAAACCTGTTGCTAACGGTCTTAAAACACTATCAACTCTTACTTGTGCTCGTTGAAAGAGAATGTGCCCCTCTTCTTAGTTCGCTCAATTATAACTTTTCCGTTCTCCTATTGTCTTCTGGCTTTATGGGATCGATCTCTTTTTATTTACATTCAGTCACTCATTAATAAAATAATTTCTTGTCCTTCATGCAAAGCAATGTTAAAGACGTTAACGGTGGAAAAGATTACTAAAAGATATTACTAGCAACAACCAAACGCATAGCTCCGTTTTCCCTCACACTGTGGAAGCAGGTGTTAGGGCCGTTTCTCTTTGAAAGATAAATATTGCTTCAAAAATATCTGATATTTGAACGAAAAATTTTTTTTTTATGCAATTATTCTAAAGACGTCATATTTCAATTGTTTTGTAAAGTTGAGTTCTACTATCCCTCTGGTCATGTCCGCTCATCCTCACACTTTCTGTGTGCACTAAAGAGCAAAAGTAATCAAGCCTAGCTTTGTCTTGTGGCTGCGATACGCATTTGGAGTAGAATTCTATATCAATTCCAGCATTTTTTCAAAGTTCTGCTCTGCTTTTACAATTTAACCAAGTGTTCTTACACTCAGCACTCATCTTCCCTTAGATTTCCTTTATCCATTAGATGTGCGCTGAACACATGTAAGGTGCATGTTCTACTTGCCCAGTCACTGCATTGCTTAGGCCGAAGCAAGCTTATGCACATACTACTCTTCCCAACCACTTGGCCTTCGCAATCGCTCTTATTGTTTCTTGCGCGGAATTTTGATTTATATTCCTCCTTTATGTCGCTGATTCGTTCCCCTTTTTAAGTCTCTTGTGCAT